GTACATTAATGAGGAAAAAAAATTAACTTAAATGATTTTAGCAAATGGCTGCAATATAACAAAGAGTGAAAAATGGAAGGGGGTCTGAATACTTTCCGTACCCACTGTATATATATATATATATATATATAACGATAACGATTATGAAATGTAAATCATGAAACTGTAAATATATTTTAAATTGTTTAAAATTTCAACATAAACATCTGTGGCAACTTGCAAAATCATGTAATTATATAATGACTGACTCATCTTAAGGAATTCCAATGTGGTTTTATTGTGTTGCCTTGTTCACTTTCATCAGTTTGTTGTCTGGCATTCATATTGTTTACTTGCACCACATATATGATGTCGGTCCATATCCAAAAAAAGAAAAGAAAACCAACATTCTTTGTCATCTTTGACTAAGACAAGACACAAAGCATGTTGTCCCTGACTCTAAGTCTTGAATGAGAGTTTGACCAGACTGGTCTCGTAGAGTGTGTGATCAGAGCTATGGCCCAAATAATGAGATGGCTCCTTCTTGTGAACTGCATTTGAAATAGCCATGACAGCTCTGGGGGTCTTCTAAAGGACACACTTGCTATAGTCTCAGCTTTCCTTCTCTTATGTGTGTGGGGCTGTGTTATGAGGCTCTGACTTCGTGTGGAGGAGAAAGAAAGAAAGAAAGAAAGAAAGAAAGAAAGAAAGAAAGAAAGAAAGTGATAGAAGCAAGGCATCTCATTGCTTTTCTCCTCTCTCTTTAATTACAACCAGTCTACCATATCGGAGAGGAAATTAATTATTCACCTAATCTGCCACAGGAAGAAATACACGTCAAATGAAACACACCACCAGTGCAACAAACAATAAGACACATAGAACACAAAGCCATACATAAGCAACCAAAACACTGCAATAATTGTACACTTATGTATAGAGAGAGAGAGAGAGAGAGAGAGAGATGCCAAAACAATTAATCGCAATTAATCGCATCCAAAATAAAAGTCTGTGCTTACAGCTTACATTATGTATGTGTATGTGCTGTGTGCGTGTGTGCGTGTATATATATAT